ACTGGCGGTGCGGATGCAGTGCAGTTTGAATAAGAGTCCTGTATGATTTCTAAGCAGTGTGGTTTGGTTCAGGTGCAGATTACAGGCTATTGACTTCTATGCAAACCTTTTCTAAACCGCATATGTGTTAACAAGATAAAATCTTGACCTAATCCTGTCCTGAGCCTGATGTAAACCTGACATGAACTACTGAGCAATTAATGTGTCAATTAGATGTGAAACCTGAGCTTCAATCCGCAAGGTACATGTGTGAATATAAAAATATATCAAATTTGTGAACATATATAACGACAATAATAGCGCTCACAAAATACAACTGAAAAAATCAATACAACTGAAAAAATTTATTATTATTATTAATAATAGTAATAATAATAGTAATCCACCACCAAATGAAATACGTGTGGAAAAAACAAAACTAAATAAGGGATCCTCATTACAGCCCATTAAATAAAGTCCATATAGAGGATATATGATCTTCAATCAATGAAGTTATGGAATCTTAAAGTTTCCTTCACCAATAAATCCAGTGCTCAACTCCCCATCAAAGTGAAAACTCACCAGAAACTGGTGAAATACCAGCATATCTTTATAAACTCAGTAGATGTGATAAACTCCACAGCATACCATTTATAATCAGCTGAAGGTCCCAATGAACTCCATAGGTCACATGCGAAGTAAAGAACACTCTCCATAGCATGATACTGTTTCAGAAATTTATTCCAACAGAATACCCCCATAAAAACCGCACTCACATAATGTCAGTACATCAAAAAGCCTTGTATGTTTAAAATCTTTCAGACATTATGTGAGTGCAGTTTTTTTATGGGGGTATTCTGTTGGAATAAATTTCTGAAACGTTATCATGCTATGGAGAGTGTTCTTTACTTTGTTCACATGTGACCTATGGAGTTCATTGGGACCTTCAGCTGATTATAAATGGTATGCTGTGGAGTTTATCACATCTGAGTTTATAAAGATATGCTGGTATTTCACCAGTTTCTGGTGAGTTTTCACTTTGATGGGGTGTTGAGCACTGGAGTATTTATTGGTGAAGGAAATTTTATGATTCCATAACTTCATTGATTGAAGATCATATAAGCTCTATATAAACTTTATTTAATGGACTGTAATGAGGATCCATTATTTAGTTTTGTTTTTTCCACACATTATATTTCATTTGGTGGTGGATTACTATTTATTATTATTAATTTTATTTTTTCAGTTGTATTGATTTTTTTCAGTTGTATTTTGTGAACGCTATTATTGTGGTTATATTTATATAGTTTCACAAATTTGATATATTTTGGGTTATTGTTGCATAATAGCAGCTCCTATTTATATAGTTATTTCCCAGGACTACATTCTCAAGGTGCAATGATGTAGACTTTGGAATATATTGATCTGCTATTAATATAATTCACCAGGGTTTATATTGTTTATTGACATGTGTGAATCTGCTCTTACATGGATTTCACAGAGACTAGTATGTGCGGACAGCGAAAGTTGTCACCTACCTCTCATGTTAGTTTGCGATTACACTGTTAGAATTCTAATTCAAAAGTAGATTTTGCACCAGATCAGATACATAACCATTTGGATATAGGTTCCAATGAGTCAATTCAGGTCTTTATTCCATTCTTATAATTCCTGATGAAGGGAGAGTTTTGCTAACCCAAACCCCATTGGTTGATTTAATGTGATGGTATTACAAACAAAGGCACTTTAGACTATTTCACTTTGTGGTTTGGCACCCTTCTATATTCTATGCGTAGCTTCCAGGTACTCACTGAGGGAGGCCTGAGTGTTTGAGAGTTGACTCACCCAAACTGATTAGCTTGTTTAAAGATATCCTTGTGTTTGTACCATTGGAAAAACCATTGAAATCCTAGCAGCTCTCCAAAATGTTTTTGCCATGTTAGTTTGTCACTTTTCATTTATCCACAAGTTTACTTTAAAGCCCAACTCTAGGAAACATAAAAAGTATCTCTTGTAGTCGGGCTGTGCAAACTCTGCTAGGGTTAATTGCTCAAAAGATCTATTTACCCAACCTTCTGAACAGCTAGACCACTCCCTGCACCGTCTTCTCCCCTATGCTCCAACATTCTAAGGGCCTGATGTCATCAAGATTAATGCAGGGTCTATAGCCCTGCATTAGACATGATGATGCTGAGGGACAGTCCTGCCCTGGATCATAAGAAAGCACTGCCTGCTACGAGAGCTTAGGATCAGGTAAGTAAAAGTGCTTCTCTTATCTCCTAGATTAAACAACCAGTTAACCACTGTGTGGCTGCAGTCTCACTGCTAGAGAGATTTTCAAATCTCACGGATTTGGGATTTTAGACATAACTTTAAGTGGAACTCTTTTGTGGAGAAAAAAAAACAACTTCCCTTAAGATCGAACTACATGCTCTGCAAGGAAGTAATCAGACGGCTATCTGTTTCTGAAAGGTAGGTACTAAAAATAGGTCATTCTAGTGCACTTACTGAAATCCTTTTAAAATGAGTGCTAAAAGATATATTTTCTTTCTGTATAATAATCCCAAGTTTCACTGTAGTAATAAAATAAATTTCTCTCCTGTAAAGTTGCAAGTTTCTCATCATAAATTCAGTCTAGTACAGGAGTGGAAATATGGCTTTTTCGTAATGAAGGAGCTTTACGTTTTTTTCTTTCAACCTATTTTTATTGTTTTCAAAGAGTGTCAGCACAAAAGACATACAAAAATAGGCCAACACCATGGCCAAACATGAAAAAAAAACAGGTCCCAGTAAACTGTATATAAACTACAAAAGGTAGAAAAGCAGCACAGCAATTAAAATTACAATGCCTGCCAACAAAGGGAGAGTGAAGGGCTCCACACCAATGAGGAGTACATCAGATGGTATACTTATTTCTGTGTAGTCAGAGCAGAAGTGATTCAAACCAGAGCCCTTTGCCCCTTCAAAACAATGTATGGGAGCTCAATTATGAGACCTTAACAATGAGATACACATAAAAAAGGGGTTCCATGAGAAAGAGAAACGGAAAAAGGAAAAGCATGAAAAGAAGGGAAGAAGAAGAAAGGGAGGGAGGGAAGACCTGGAACAGCGGCAACGAATCCTAAAGGCCTCACTGAGTAGAGGAAAAGTAAAAAGTTAGTTCGCACTAAAGATCAACATGAACATATTCTGCCCAAGGGCCCCAAATATGCTCGAAATGTTTCGAGATATCATAAAGCTCGCTAGCAAGTTGCTCATTGAGCATTATCCAGGATACCTGTCATCTAAATGCAGAGACCGATACAGAGGACTCTTTCCACAAACGAACTATGGTGAGCTTTGCAGCTTAGCAGCAAAAAGAGGATTAAACTTTGTTTCAAGGAAGGCTGCCACCCCACCGGTTCATTCAGTGAGGCCACTCAGGATAGTTGGGGTACTGGAATTCCCGAGACCTTCCTAATTAGAACAAAAATTTTGTTTCAAGAACCTCGTAATTTTGGGCATTCCCACCAAATATGGTACATGGTGCCGGTGGAGTGGCAGCCACGAAAACACAGGGGCAAGGTGCCTGGAAAGATCCCCGAGAGTTTGGAGGGAACCATATACCATCTAGTCATAACTTTCACACTTTCTTCTACCAATGAGATATTCATGACTCCCTTAAAGGCATAGTAGAAACAGATGTGCCAGTGATCCACATCCCTTTCCAAGTCTAAGTCCAGGTAAAGGCCTGCATATAAGGCATTTTGTCAGCAGTATCTAGCAAGAGCCTATAAATGACCGAAATCCCACCTCTCCGACCCATGTCTTGTGAGCACCACTGTTCTTAAGTAGATATTTTAGGATTCTGGAGAACCTCAGGTCCTAACGACTTTAGAAACTGAGAAAGTTTGTAAAACCAAAAGATCTCCAAGGTGGGCGTTTTCAGTTCAGATTGACAATGTAGAAGGGTAACGGGCACCTTAAGGGGTCAAGAAATGATCTATCCTATAGAGGCCTTTATTGAGCCACTAGTGAACTGCCTCTGTGTCCATCCCCGGAGGAAATGCCGGGTTATTAAACGTATGAGATAATGGGAAAAAAAAGATGACAAGATTACGATTGTGTCGCACCTTGTCCCAATCAGCTAGGGAAGTGGTCTGTTCTTGGAGGGCTGCCATTTAATGAAGTCTGTTCTCTCCATATTTATCCATTTGGGTTTTTCAATGTGGGAGTATACCACCGTAAAACTGTAAACTGTGCAAGCTGGGCAACCGGATAGTATAAGGCGAGCTGCGGGAGACCCAGACTGACTTTCGTCTTGTGTGCAAAGAGAACCAGTTTAAACAGTCTGTAGCCTTTACCACTCCAAACAAATCAAATTATTTTGGCTTCAAACCTAGAAGGAAAGGAAATGCAGCCTGCAATAGGGACACCAGTGCCTGGGGAAAATTAATGTTCATTGCAACTGATTTGTGTATATTTATTTTAAGGCCCGAGACGTCCCTGAAATCCTCTAATAATTTATGTATATTGAGTAAGGAGATTAATGGTGAGGATATAAATAGGAGTAAGTCATCAGCAAAGAGGGTGCATTTACGGGTTTGATTTCCACAGGTCACCCCCCCGAAAATTGGGATGAGATCGCATGGCAATGGCCAAGGATTCAATAGTTATAGCAGATATCAAGGGGAAAAGAGGACATCCCTCCCTGGTAACCCTTAATATTTGAAAAGGGTCTGATTGGAAGCTATGGAGTCTAACCTTAGGTCTCGGGTTAGCATATATAACGCCTGTATGATCGAAAGAAATCGGGGTCCAAAGCCTCATATCCCTAAAAGCTTGTGATGTCACCTCCCCAAAGATAGGGGAAGGAAAGTAGATGTAAGAGGTTATATTGGCAAAGGCTTTTGGTGTCCCTGGATAGATGAAAAAAATTACACTTTTGTGTTTTAACAGTACAGCTACCTTTTAATGTTAGTCCTTGTAAAGATTTGGGGCAGGCTGAAAAAAGCTATATTGGATTAGGGATTAAAATTGTACCTGAAGTTGTATTTTTGCATCTTTGCTGACACTTTTTGTTCTCCACCTCCTCGCCGTGCGCTTGTCTTTCTTTGACATATCTACACAGTTAGCCTAAATTGCACAAAGCATTAAAAGCAACAGAAAGCCATTAAAGTTTAGACATAAAGCCAGAAGCAATGACAAGACATGCTGACATGATACAATATTAGTGATCAGTTTCACACAAGCGCCCACTTTTCTCAAGGCAACGTATAAAAAGGTAGCCATACAAAACAGCAAAGGGTCTGATCAAATCACTGGAAATTATACAAATCTTAAAGCATGAGATTAATGATATTAAATTAGTGCAAATTTTCAGCATGTCAAGTGGACAGGTTATACAATTTTAAGCAATAGCCACATACTGTAAGCAGAGATATGATACAAAGTTTAGGGGAGTTTGTCTGACAAATGTTGTCCAGTAGATGTGCATGCCAGACTTGATTTATCAGCATGGCCTAATGAATGGCTAAATTGTCTGGGTACCTTAAAAGGAAACTGTATAGATAGAAATTTAGGAGCGATCATAGCTAAATGAGTTTGAAAGGTGTAAATTCCAAGGGGTGCCATCCATATCCTTACTGCACTACCTAGCTAATCAATGACATAAAAAGAGCATGCAGCTTGTGATGTTAGGACACTTGACCTTCATACTTCTTCTGGGACAGTTATTTGTTAAATCTGACCTCCAGGTAGACATAAAAGACACAATTTATGAAGCTCCTTATTCACCAATATGGATGTGCCTTTTAGAATGTAAGCGATGTAAATACCTGAATATGACTTGGTTGCCAGAAAAAAAAAAAAAAGCAAAAAGCAAAAAAAAAAAAAAAAAAGCTATACACCAATCATTTAGCCTGTTGCCCCTTCCATTGGTGCATGTTTTTTTTCTAGTAAGCTGCTGGGTAACCACAGGAGGGCAGCCATTACTGCTGTAAACAATCCCAAAAACTGAATTAAAAATCTTGGCTATGGCTCAACCTGTTGTAGCAATGTGGCTATACCCAAAACCCTTAAGATCTATCCAGGATTGCTCAGTGCAATGTATAAAAAGTCATATGTTTATACGTCAAAAACAAAACTCATAAATCACCACAAAACCATATTAAAAACATAACAAGCCAACTGTAGAAAAAACAGCAGCTGTGGAAAAAATTAAATTACCCCCCCCCCCCCAACCATTAAAAAAAAAAAACAAAAAAAAAAAAAACTTACTAGACAAAAAAAATTGCACTGTAATCTTGATATGAGATAAAGTCCCCCCAACCAGGGATATAGTCCACAAAAGTTGACAGATATGGATTTGAACTAGGAAGTCTTGAATGCTCTTAAACTAGGGCAAGACCACTTTTTGTGCACGTCAATATAATCTACATTAGTTTTAGACTATCTTCCAGGAAGCAGTCAAGTCCCAAGTTAAAGCCTCAATGGGGCTTATGTGACTAAGTTGTGTCCTACACTCATAGAACCTGCTGTAGGACTCCTGTTGTGAGCAGCCTAACCTGAGCCAGTTTTTGTCCCATCACTACTTTCTATAAACTCACATCAAAGTCCCAAGGTCTCTTGGATGCTTTTTTCTTCATTGGAGTCTGAATATGACTTGGTTATCAGTCTTTTGTAGTTCTTGTACAGCAGCAATCAAACTGGCAGATGGAGAAGCAGCACAAGGAGTTAATCAGTTGTGATGCAGTTCAAGGACCATGCTAATAGTAGAAGGAAGTACAGTGACAGTCTGCTACTTCTACTTTCACTATCCAGTCACAGGCTGGAGAAGGGACAAAACCTGTAAGTGCTACTAAGCTAAAGTAGAGAAAATTCAGGTATCTTGCCCTGCCAGACAGGACAGGCTATGTGGCAGTGCTGTGTAAATCTCAGAAAGGGATGGACAGAAATACAACTGCTTTGATCTATGATATTCATCTGTGTATTTAGCGGTTTGCATGGAGTTGAGATTTACATATTAAAGGAGGAATAAGGATGGCAGTACCAGAATTTCACTTTTAATATTAAACCAGCAGTGATAGCTCCTATATTGCTTTCCTGGCTGCCTTGATGGATCCACAAAAACACTGCCGTGTTTATAAATGTTGTTATAACATAAAACCAATACAAAAACAACAAATATAAAACAAACTACATAGATAATTTGCTGGTTGTGTTTCAGTTGCATTTGTTAAGCCATAGTTGTTACATAGTTACATGGTTAGTTTGGGTAAAAAAAAAAAAAGACAAGCCCATCTATTTCAACCCTTAAAGCATATCATATTTGCCAAACTAATGTGTCAATTTGGGGTTTTATTTTATTTATTTTTAGATAAAGATAAAATGGATGCCTTGAGACAAGCTGAAAAAAGTCACCAGCCCTGCAATGCGCCTGTGCTGACAGTACTGAAATAAATTTAGCACACCCAGGCAGAAACCCTGGACTGCTGTATAATAAACAGGAGTAATAGAGGTAAACTGCACATAACAAACACCTACACACTTTTTAGGTAATTTAAAGAATAGGATATTCAGTACTCGTTAAACAATGCAAATGTTTATACAACAATGGATGTAGTTTAGACTAAGCAATATCCTGGCTTCAAATGAAACAATCTAATGATCATAGATTTAATTGTTTTACAAATGTTATTTTAAATATATATATATATATATATATATATATATATACACACATACACACACACACACACACACACACACACACACACACACACATATATACACACACACACACACTATATTGCCATAAGTACTGGCCTTTACACGCACATGAACTTTAATGGCATCCCAGTCTTAGTCCGTAGGGTTCAATGTTGACTTGGCTCACCCTTTGTAGCTATAACAGCTTCAACTCTTCTGGGAAGGATGTCCAGAAGGTTTAGGAGGGTGTCTATGGGAATGTTTGACCATTCTTCCTGAAGAGCATTTGTGAGGTCAGGCACTGATGTCAGACGAGAAGGCCTGGCTCGCAGTCTTCACTCCAATTCATCCCAAAGGTGTCCTATCGCATTGAGGTCAGGACTCTGTGCAGGCCAGTCAAGTTTCTCCACCCCAGGCTTGCTCATCCATGTCTTTATAGTCCTTGCTTTGAGCACTGGTGCGCAGTCATATCGGAACAGGAAGGGGCCAACCCCAAACTGTTTCCACAAAGTTGGAAGCATGAAATTGTCCAAAATGTCCTGCGTACGCTGACGCCTTAAGAGTTCCCTTCACTGGAACTAAGGGGCCAAGCCCAACCCCTGAAAAACAACCTCCACCATAATCCCCCTCCACCAAACCTTACACCTGGCACAATGCAGTCAGGCAAGTACCGTTCTCGTGGCAAGTGCCAGGTGTATAAAAATCAAGCACCTAGCACCTAGGCATGCAGACTGCTTCTACAAACATTTGTGAAAGAATGGGTCACTCTCAGGAGTTCAACGAATTCAAGCGTGGTACCTGATAGGTTGCCACCTGTGCAATAAGTCTATCCATGAAATTTCCTTTCTACTCAATATTCCACGGTCAGAAGTCAACAACTATCTGTAGAGTCAATAGCTAAAGACCTTCAAACTTCGAGTGGCCTTTAGATTAGCAGAACAACAGTGCATTAGAGAGCTTCATGCAATGGGTTTACATGGCTGAGGACCTGCATCCAAGCCTTACATCACTAAGTGCAATGTAAAGTGTCAGATGCAGTGGTGTAAAGCACACCGCCACTGGACTCTAGAGCAGTGGAGACATGTTCTCTGGAGTGATGAATCACGCTTCTGTCTGGCAATCCGATGGATGTGTCTTGGTTTGGCGGTTGCCAGGAGAACGGTACTTGCCTGACTGCATTGTGCCAAGTGTAAAGTTTGGTGGAGGGGGGTTATGGTGTGGGGCTGTTTTTCAGGGGTTGGGCTTGGCCCCTTAGTTTCAGTGACGGGAACTCTTAAGGCATCAGCATACCAATACATTTTGGACAATTTTATGCTCACAACTTTGCGGGAACAGTTTGGGGATGGCCCCTTCCTGTCCCATCATGACTGCGCACCAGTGCACAAAGTAAGGTCCATAAAGACATGGATGAGCGAGTATGGGGCGGAGAAACTTGACTGTTCTGCAAAGAGTTCTGACCTGAACCCAATAGAACACCTTCGGGATGAATTGGAGTGGAGACTGTGAGCCAGGCCTTCTCGTCCGACATCAGTGCCTAACCTCACAAATGCGCTTCGGGAAGAATGGTCAAACATTCCCATAGACACACTCCTAAACCTTGTGGACAGCCTTCCCAGAAGAGTTGAAGCTGTTATAGCTGTAAAGGGTGGGCCAGCTCAATACTGAACCCTACGGACTAAGACTGGGATGCCACTAAAGTTCATACACATGTAAAGGCAGGCGTCCCACTACTTTTGGCAATATAGTGTATATTGGTGCTTTGAGTGCCACTTTTTGTTCATATGGGTTACAGGCATTTATTTTGGTCATAAATAACCATATTCAGTGTGGTTATCTACAATATCATTTCAATAAATCTAATTTGATTCCCCTATGGTGGCAGTGTCTGATAACAGAGAAATTTTAGCAAAAGTTTATATAAGTTATGAATACTATACCTGGGTCCACCATTTGTTGTGCCCATCTATGTGCTTATTACATTATCCTTTCAAAGTGAATGAAAGGCTACAGGTAGCACTTCGGAGGTGGGAAATTATTTGTTTTTTGGAAGCAAAAAGGACCATTGTGACTTGATGGATCCTAACCCATCTACTTTAGAGGATTTTAAGGAGATTATATTTAGATTGTGCATGATGAATAAATTCGATACCCAGAGAAAAAGTATAAGGACATTTTTTACATCTGGTCTTGCTATATAGTTAAGGAGTTGCCTGTGGATCAGCTTTGGGAAATAATGACCACTTTTCAGTATACCACATGGTATAATATGGAAAAGCTAAAGGGTACTTTGGGGTGGCTCAAACTATAGTGTAGTAGTTTAGTCTTTATAGTGACCTCAATTTGGCTTCTTAAGAATTTTATTATTGCCTTTAACGATAAAGTTAATTGAGATTCCTATATTTGTTATGGTACTTATACCACGCTGGCAATTTGCGCAGCGCTTCACACACACATATATAATTTATATATATTTATATATATATATATATATATATATATATATATATATATATATATATATACATACATATACACACACACAGCATATATATACATATATACACACACACATATACACACACACACGCATATATATATATATATATATATATATATATATATATATATATATTTTGTACATTCACATCAGTCCCTAACCCTAAGATATGAAATCAGATATACAGTTACAGTGTTTTGTTTTTAATTACCTATTTGTGTTTTATTAATTCTATATTAAAATAATTCATTGTCTTATATATATATTTTTCTAGATGGTATGTTTATGTTAGACAAGATAACGAATTACATTATCTACAATAATGTGTTTTATTATGAAAAAAATGCTAAAAAAGAATATTGAGATGTGCATAAAGGAATCGATGATCTTGGCATTAGAGAGCAGAACAGATTATGAATATCTATAAAGAGGAATAGGGAAATTTTGGTTCACTATAAATGTTTTTCTTGAGAGAAAAGAAACTGAGAAATCTGTGATATCTATTGTTGAGACTGATTTGTAGTACAAAATGTTAAATGGACCTGACTATATAAAAACTAAATAAAACATGTTTGCCTAATAGCAGCCAGGGACTGCATAGTATTACTGTAAAAAAAAAAATAAAAAAAAATAAAAAAAAATCCTTCTGGACACCAAACATTTCACACATCTAAGTGAGCACCATATACTAATGCCAGCTTGGAGTCCAAGACGAGCACTTCACCACTCTCACTTGCCAAAAGCGTGCAAGGTTTTTGCCCATCCATCTGCCTTGTGATTGACAGAGGATGGCAGTGAGTGAATTCCATGGCCATTATTCTGGCTCACCTTTCTTGAGATTGGCAACTGAAGGCAGTTGATGGATTTTATACCCACTATTGGACTGAATAGCAGCTATGGAATCCACTCACTGCCAATCAGGAGGAAGGCGGATCTTATGGGGAACTAGTCTCAGGGTTTCCCATCAGGCTCTGCCCACGCAACAGAACTCAACTGCTGTACCTGTCTCAGTGATGGATGCAGTGCCCTTGGAGGAAGAACATCAACATTGAGTCTGAATTGCACTGAGGACGGAGTGTCCAGTATGGACATTCTTGCCGCATTGTGGGCCTCCTAAAACAAATTCATGTAACCTGTTCCTGATCGGCTATTGCAAGCACTGACATTTGTGGTGCAGAGGTGCAATTTCGAATTCTAAGTGATTATGACACATTATGAATTCCAGGAATTTGCATTGTATTTAGCATTGACGCACATGGGTGCTTTTGCCCATATAGCATAAAAACAGAAGCTCAGGAGGCACAGGTGGAGCAAACAGCCCGCTGCCTGCAGCCTGTCAAAACCAATGACAGGCTGAAATATGTGCTCCAGTATGCTGTTTTGAGAGGTACTCTTATACACGTATGCCCTGGACACAGGCATTACGAGCAGGAGCATGCCATCACTAAGTGCACCCCCCCACACACTATATGGACAAAATCGCGTATATGTCCATTGGCCCTTACTACACAAGTATTAGAAAAAAATTTTTTTTTAAAAAAGTGATGTAAAAGTATATACATATGCGGTAGGTCACACCCAGCTGTAGTAATTAGGGTGTTGTTCAACTGAATTTTTTTCGTCTTCAGGAGGACCCCCATAAAAAAACATCTATGGAGCCCTGTGATTTTTAGGTATGCCCCTGTTAACAACTATTTAATTATCAGGAATAATAAGTTAGTTTTTTCAGGTGTTTCAAATTCATTAATGTGCATTAAAAAGATATTAGTGACAAAAACTCATATACCAAAACCCCAGCAGCAGAAACAACCCGGACAATTTTCAGAAGCTAATAAGCTGTGTAGGGACCTTATGGTACCTACAATTAGGCAAATTATTCACAAGAAAATGTAACCTCTCAAAATAGTTTCATCAATTGCAAAATGTTATCTGAAAACCTCTAGGATGCAAGCAGTCCTGAACCATATCACATATTCAATATAAAAATAATGTCTAGACTATATTTAGCAATAGGGTTCATTCACTTTGGCTGCATTAACCTGCATTTGAGTAGCTGGCATAATAAACATTACTGAAAAAATGGCAAACGATAACAATATTAAGATGGAGCACATTCTCATAAAAAGTGCCAAGTCGCTACATGTTGTGAAACAATCCAACATATTGCATTTTTGGAGTAAATGCTCTGTGGTTACCAATGAAAGGGATTTCTTTTTTAAAATGTAGCACATTTGAAAATGAGGGGCAAAGAGCAATGCCACAACACATGTTGCTGCATGTGTTATTGTGGGAACATACTCATACTTCTATCCATAAAACCGATATAAAATCATCTAATATTTAGTATTTATCACTTTTTTGTATTGTATGTCTTTTTCCAGGTACCACGTGGTGGACATTATTACATATATTTATTCCACAAAAGTCATGTTGATCTGTATGCTAAGTAATTTGCAAATGTATCTTGCAGCATAACTAATCTTCTAAATACAAATCCATTAATGTTTTTCTATGTTGAGCACAGATCTTAAGTTTCAGAAAATGTAATGCTAGTATAAAATAGAGAAATGAGATGTATTTACCACGTGAATCAAACAATCTGCATCATGCAGCAATTTACAGTCAAGTCTACAACATGGTCATTCATGGCATGGGAATAACAGGTTTCCAATAGTGTCTGACAGATCTGAGTCATCAGAGTAACCTTGTTGCTATTCAGCAGCAACCTCTTATAATGATGACCCTGTACAGTATATACATCGTGACAAACACTGATTCAAAAATCAATACTGGCATTGTAACAGGTCTTGTCGCTAGTGCTTTGAAAAAACAAAAAAAAACAAAACAAAGAGAAAACGTAGCTTTACTGCCATGTGTTAACATGGGAATATTCAGGCGAAAACATCTATATAGAAAAAGGTAGACTTTTCAGAGTGTAACACTTGAAACAGTTTGAATTTCCAATCACTTTCCATCTATGTGACAGTGATCGCCAGAAGAAAGAATGAGTCTACCTCACTTGGAGACAAGAATGACAGATTGACAGAGGTTCTAACTACCCTACTTTATACAAAAATAATAAAACTGGTTTCTGCTTTAGATATACTTTTCTCTTTCTTTAAACACACATCAGCACATAGAATGTTCGTGTCCGTGTTGACGTACACATACAACATGAAAAAAGTTTGATTGCCATGTTTGGACCATATAATTTGCACTGTTATAGAAGTGATAAGAATGGCTATAGTCTGATAAAATATAATACTGTACATACACACTGTACTATATGAACTTTCTAAAAGTCGGTATTTGCATAGGAAATGCAGGAAGTTCCCATGGTGCCAGTGGTGGACAGGGGCAGCAGGTGACATTGGGGATGTAGAAGTAGACTCCTCAATTTACAGAATGGTTTTATGATATTTACTTACAGAGTAACTGCAAACTATAAGGACAGCTTAGGTCTTGAATAGGGAGAAAAGTAACTGGTCTTAAATGCCAACAATTTTATTCTACTATGTTAGCCTAGTTATGTACCTTTACAATAATTCCTAGGGCAAAAGGATTCCTGGCCACACTGATCTATCACATTGAGTGTCATTTGTTTAGGAACTCTATACATTTTCTACTCAAGTGGCCCTTAATCATGCACATATTTTAAGGGTAATCATGACCCCACCTGCATGTCAATGAAATTGGGTGCAGACTGGGTCCTTTGCAGCATTTCCAGATTATGAAGTAGTTTGCTAAGCTCAATCAGGTTGGACTGACACTGGGCCAAATCTAGTAAAAGAAACATAGAAATATATCAGAATCAATTATCAAACACTTCCTGAATTAAAATCAAATTAGAATATCTTGCAAACTGATCACAATGCTTCCATAAAGCCATGTTGTACTGTGTATAGGCAGATCGATAACATTAGCATTCTAAACGATGTCTAATCTTGCTTATTATTCAACTGACTTTCCCTGTGAATCGACAGTCTTCCATATACATCAGATATGAAGATATCAAGAAGGAAGTAATTAAATGGATGTCTATGTCTAGCCTCAATCAGCAGTCTAAATGACCTGCATTCCAATTCTAAAACAGAGAAACACATTCAAAGCATTATGCCTCATCTACCAATATTAAATAGATGAATACCAAAGATGTTCGTGTCGTTTGCATATCTGTGTATGCAAATTCTATAAATGTTTCTTTTGGATTGTCCATTTGGCTAAAATGGAGGTTTCCAAATATCCGAATCTTCCAACTGAAAGTGGTACAGAGTATGGTACAGATCAAATTATTTTAAGCCTTGCACCTTCATGGTACTAAGCTCCACCCTATCAATCAACTGTCAAATGCCAGAATATAATCGTACATAGAGGCACTGGCTTTTGACAGCTAAAAAACAGGGGTGGGATTTACCACTGGGAAGGGTGGAGCTTGTCCTCAACTGGGGCAGTTTTTAAAGCCCCAAGGTGATCCTGGGCCACAGATCCAAGAGAGCTAAACAGGAACACAGGAAATGATTTAATGGTACCTGCAGGGACCACAAGGTCTCTGCACTACCCAACATCTGTTACGCTACAAAATTTTAGGCCAGCCCAGGTTCACGTTAATTATGTAAAAAAAAAAAAAGCAGTGTGCAAATGACAGTAATCCAAAGCAATGAGTCTTCCGGATCAACTAAATATTTTTTGTAGTTATTGAGATAGTGGAGAAGGGTTAGAATTTTTCCAGATTTTTTTCAAAAGTGAGGGATGGTTGTCATTTAAACAGCTGTCCCTATTAGAACATATCCCCTCTCAAAGTGACAACTGTAAGATTGTAAATTTCCCTGGACTTTTTTTTTGTCAGTAACTTTCCCCACTCCCAAATCAAAACTAGGAAAAACATTTTGGCTATCATCCTAGCTTAAATATAAGTTTAGCAATTTTTCCTATAATTTTTTTAAAATGTTAGGAAAGTACCCTCGGCACATTTATCCATCTCCTCCGAGTCCTGTAGCCATGCCACAACCTTACTCTGACCGGTGGTACATGGAAGGCTGTTGCTGCATGGGATGGGAGACTGCCACGTGAAGTTATTCTGTGGAACCTGGAAAATAGGAGAAGATAAATTTAGGTCTATAGAAACTAATGAACTATTTGTGGGACAGTGATATTAAAGTGTTACTAAACCCAGGACCCTGCATTCATTATATCTGGTCTCCCGCAGTACACAGAAAATGGAAATGCAATTATTTTAGTAAATATAAACTGCTAAATACATTTTCTCATCAGCAGTTAGAGCAGTCTTGTGACTTCAGCTGAGCACTGGTTAAAGCTTTTTTTTTTTTGCTCTAGGAGGATGCAAAACCCCTGACCCTCTGTCTGGACGGTGCCAATTGCCCCTATGCTGATCACATGCACCCTCCCAAAAAAAAAAAAAAAAAAAACCCTCTAGCAATACACACAAAACTGAGCATGTGCATGTGACTACAGGTTCAGTCTGTCTTATCAGGTGGACATTTGAACAAGAGGAGGGGCAGATAAAACAGCACCAAAAGGCCTTTTTACAAAATGCAGAGGATTAACCCCTTAGGTTCCACAGTGAGTATACCCAGCATGCTTTACTGCATATAAAGACTGATTTTACTGTTGTGGGTTTAGTAACACTTTAATTCACAACACAATACAACAGATATACACAAGACTAAAAGTTCACATTTTTATCTCAATACAAGAGTGCAAGTGGTAAAGTGCTCTACCAACTGAAACAATGTGAAATTTTGTAGAGGTGTATTTGTGGATCAGTCTTATTAATTTACAAGAAAACTAAACTGATTAAGCTAAGCAATTGCATTTGTGAGTTTATTCATTCATACAAGAGTGCAAGTGGCCACATTCCAGGAAACAGAATTCACACTAAGCGCTGTGGGTGAGAGCATTTTTCAAACTTTGCAGTTTGTTGAACAAACTTTTCAGCCAATATAATTTTGTACAGAAAGCCTCTAATAACTTACAACCATTTGAGGCATATACTTACATCAATACACAAAGGAAAAAAGTAATGCTGCTCCTTTAAAGGGGAACACTGTAAAAAAAACACAACCTATGATAGCAAATATCTAAGATAAAAAAGCTCTTTAACGGTGTGTAATTTCTGCTTTTGGATGCACCCTTTTTAGAAGAAAAATAATGATTTTAGTCCACAACACGATATAAAGCCTGCCTTTAATTCCACAATAAGGCATTCCTCCAGTTTACAAGAATCTGCTCAGCAGGGTAAGATGAGCTGCTGAGAGAAGGACTTCCTTACTGTTATGTTTCACTGTGGAAAAACTGGCAGAAAAGTTCCATGATGAGAATGTTTCGAGTACATACAGCTACAGACATCAGTGGGGGGCATCACTGCCAACCTCGAAACTTCCTCATTACCGCCTTTTTCAGGATAGAGGAATAAATTGTAAGAAATTATCTGAGACCCTTTCACCTTCTTTTTTGCATTTACAAGGTGAAACTACATGCAGGTGATCTGCACATAAACAATACAACAAAATATACTGCAGCATTGTTTTAAACCAGTTGCCGCCCGGACTATTGTCAAAATGACAGCCGGGCGAAAACTTCGTCCTTCCAGGAGTGTGTCATATGACGTCCTTCCCGGACCGAGGATTGTGAGTGCCCGCAGGGCCGCTCTGCGGCACGATCTGTCACTGGCCATGTACCTCAGACACGACCGATGACAGATCTGTGTACCAGCCCCGTTGCCAGTACCATGTGACCTGCTGCGACCAATCACAGCAGGTCACATGATAGTTGTATACAATGGATGGCTTCCTTTCATGCAATCCATTGTATACAAGTGTGTCTAGCTGTGAATGATCACAGCGATCACATGCACAGGCTGGGCCAAACATCTGTGTCTTGTGATTAGCCGTGGCCAATCACAGCTAATCACAACAAAAAAAAAAACCTGAATTAATCGATTTCATTCAGTTAAATGTTTGCTTATAGCAATCAAATTGTATAAAAAAAACAAAATACTGATCACTTCCCCAAAGTAGTACAATGTTACTAAGGTAACATTATACTACTTTGGTCATAGTGTAATATGAAAAACAAAAATCTTAAAAAAAGAAAAAAATTTAATAAAAAATAAAAATGTAAAAAAAATACATTTTTTTTTTTTCCGCACAATCACAGTCAGTGTCCCTAATCACTGCCACACCAGTTATATGCTGATGCTGTACTGCACTGGTGACAGTATGTAAAAAAAATAAAAATCGTGAAAATAATTTTTTTAATGTCTTAATTTTCCAAAAAAGTTATGACAAAAAATTACAAATTAAAAAAAAACGCCTCTTATGAAATACGTCAGACTGTCTACTTTGCAAAAAGGGGTCATTTGGAGGATATCTGTACTGTTCTGACATTTTTGGGCCTCAAGAAGTTAGATAGGCTGTCAGTACTTCAGGATTGATCTATTTTCAGATATATCCCATAGTTTGTGAACTCTATAACTTTCCTACAGACCAAATAATAAATACTGATTTGGGTTATTTTCACCAAAGAAATGTAGGAGAATACATCTTGGCCTAAATTTATGAAGCGCAATTATTTATCTACAAACGTTTATAACAGAAACAAAGAAAAATGTGGGGTTTTTTTTCAAAATTTTCAGTCTTTTTTTGTTAATTTAGCAAAAAATAAAACCCCAGTGGTGATTAAATACCACCAAAAGAAAGCTCTAGTTCTGTGAACAAAATGCTAAAATTTTAGTTTGGGTACAGTGTTGCATGACCGCGCAATTGTCATTCAAAGTGTGAGAGCGCTGAAACCTAAAAATTGGCCTAGGCAGGAAGGGGGTAAAAGTGCCCTGTATTGAAGTGGTTAAAGTGGTTTATAAAGGCTCAAGGTTTTTTAAGTTCATGCATTCTATTCATTAAGGTAAAAAAAAAACTTGTGTGGAGCAGCCCCCCCAATACTCACCTGAACCCATTGCAATCCATTGATGTGCACAAGAGCCTCGGTTCTCCAGGGACTCTCCCTCCTCATTGGCTGAGACAGCAGCTGGAGCCATTGGCTCTCACTGCTGACAATCACAGCGGGACACAGCCGATGACATATCACTACACTGGCCCGTTGCCAGTGTCATGTGACCGCTATGACCAATCACAGCAGAACACATGTCAATTGTATACAATGGATGGCTTTGTGTCATGCCAAACGTATACATTTGTGTTAGCTGTGATTGGTCAAAGTAGTCACATGGTACAGACAGCGCCAATCACAACCCATCTGTATCATGTGATGAGCTTTGCCCAATCACAGCTAATCACAACAAAAGACTGAATTAATCAGTTTCATTCAGTAACAATGATTGTAAATATCAATGAAATACATTGGTATTAGCAATCATAATGTGTAAAAAATAAAAAAAATTTAAATCTTGCTCACTTGCCCAGAGTAGTTCAATGTTACTATGGTAACATTGTATTGCTTTGGTCACAGTGTGTTGAAAAAAAAAAAATAGAAAAAAAAAGGAAAAATAACATAACATTTTTTAAAAAAAAATAAATATTTAAAAAAAAATATTTTTATTTTTTTACACTGTCACCAGTCAGTGTCCCTGATCACCGCCACACCAGTTATATAACAACGCCCTACTGGACTGGTGACAATATGTAAAAAAAAAAATTTTTTTTTTAAATTTGTGATTATTTTTCTTTAACATTTTTACATTTTCCAAAAAAGTGTAACAAAAAATTACAACCTCACCATGCCTCTTACTAAATACCTTGGACTGTCTATTTTCCAAAAATGGGTAATATGGGGGGGGGGTATTTGTGCTATCCTGGCGTTTTCGGGCCTCAAGAAATGAGATGGGCCGTCAGTAAATCAAGACTGATTGACCAACCATGGTTTGTGGACTCTAACTTTCCTACAGACTAAATAATATACACTAATTTGGGTTATTTTCACCAAAGAAATGTTGCAGAATACATTTTGACCTAAATTTATGAAGAAATGTTATTTATTTGCAAACTTTTATAACAGAAACAAAGAAAAATGCGTTTTTTTTTTTTCCAAAAGTTTCAGGATTTTTTTTATTTAGCAAAAAAATAAAAATCCCAGTGGTAATTAAATACCACCAAAAGAAATCTCTATTTCTGTGAAAAAAAATGGTACAAATTTTTTATGGGTACAGTGTTGCATGACCGCATAATTGTCATTCCAAGTGCAACAACACTGAAAGCTGAAAATTGGCCTGGGAAGGAAGGGGGTAAAAGTGCCCGGGTTTGAAGTGGTCAATGTTATTTACAGTATTAGGGAAGCACGTAACCGTTGTTTCATTAACACAGGCACAAGAATTGTCCACGCTTGTCACAGTTTCGGATAAATAGGGGAATGGACCTTTGTGTCTGATGAAGGACTTTCCCAATATTCCTGGCATCTGTCATTCTAAATCACTCATACCAAAAGTCACTTTCTCTTTAAAAACTAACAAGGGGCAATTTTGGTGCACCATGAAATGAAGAGTCCACAAATTCCGGATAGTAAAAAAAACAATAAATCCATGCAGCCCACACCAGTAAACGTCCAGTTACACTCGGAGGCTGCTATATCTTGGGAGCTAGAAGCAACTTCTGAGTGTAGCATTGGGCAAACAAATTTATTGACACATATGTAGCAACTGACAGAAAACTGGTAAAAAGAACGCTCATCAACAAGTAAGCACCACCAGGATGGTGCAGAGCGGTGCTTACTTGTAGATAAGCAGTCTTTTTACCAGTTTTATGTGAGTTGCTACATATGTGCCAATAAATTTGCTTGCCCGATGCTACACTCAAAAGACATTTCTCCTTTTTCGTTATGTCACCTTAAAATATATTAGTACAGTGGAATCCTACACCACAGAATACGCATACAATAATTCACAGATCAAATCTGGGAAAGCAAAATTAGATGATAAACTACTATTTAGAAATGGTTACATTGGAAAGTCAAAATGTGGTAGGGATCAAAGACCACAAACAGGCTGCCTAATACTGTGCCATCCCAGGGACACAACGAATACCGAAAACCCCAAAGAAAAGATGGGCACGTTATGCA